GGCGCCCATGCCGGGGAGGGGGCAGGGCGGGGGGAGGAGGGGGGAGGGGGACGGGGAAGGAGGGCAGCCCTCCCCACGAGCCCTCCACGGCCCTTCACCTCCCCTGCCTTGCAGCGAGCTTCTCCATCTTTCAACCGTCCTCCCACCACATCGTTGTGACCACCACCTTCGGCCTCAGGCTCCAGGTCCAGCTGGTGCCGGTCATGCAGCTCTTCCTGACGCTGGACCATGCCGCCCAGGGGCTGGTGCAGGGTGAGCGGCCCCGCCCAACGCCCCCCACGCAGGCCACCCTCGGGCCTGCGCACTTTGACCCCCGACCCTTCCCAACCCTGTCCTGGCCCCTCAGGCCTCTGTGGGAACTTCAACGGCCTTGAAGGTGACGACTTCAAGACGGCCGGTGGGCTGGTGGAGGCCACGGGCGCCGGCTTCGCCAACACCTGGAAGGCCCAGTCGAGCTGCCACGACAAGCTGGACTGGCTGGATGACCCCTGCTCCCTCAACATCGAGAGCGGTGAGGCTTGGCCGCTGGGGAGCTGGCCCTGAGCAGACAGGGCTCCTGGTGGGACGTGGCGGGCGGGTGTAGCGTGGAGATAACAGAGCCAGCCATCCACCTGCTGCTGTCTGCCTTGCGGCTGGTTTATGGTGGCCCACGGTGGCAGCCTGCCCAGTGACATGGCTGAGGGGCCGGAGCTACTAATCGCAGCCTGGTGGCCCTCGTCCAGGGGCTGGCCTGGTGCCTTGACAGGACACCCTAACACCTGCCAGGTCACCTGCCACATCCACGAGGTGGAGAGAGGAGAGGGGTGGGAGCCCTTGCCTTACAAAGGGGCACCGTCCTGTGCTGACCTGCCCTGAAGGGAGGGTCCTGGGTTCAGTCCACCGAGGGGACAGTGTCTGCTCCAGCCTGGGCGGCTGGGCAGCCTGACCTGGGGGACTTGTTGGAGGGGCCATCGCACTGAGGGGCTGAACCCTATCCAGCCAACTATGCTGAGCATTGGTGCTCCCTGCTGCAGAAGACAGAGACCCCGTTCAGCAAGTGCCACTCTGCCGTGGACCCAGCGGAGTATTACAAGGTGGGTGGGCCCACACAGGCATTGCCCTCCCCGCTGCCTGCGAGGCTCCTGTGGGAAACGGCTGCGTGTGTGCAGAGCACACGTGTATAGCTGGGTGTGTGTGCACAGCACATGTGTATAGCTGGGTGTGTGTGAGCACAGCACGTGTATAGCTATGTGTGTGTGCACAGCACATGTGTATAGCTGGGTGTGTGTGAGCACAGCACATGTGTATAGCTGTGTGTGTGTGAGCACAGCACATGTGTATAGCTATGTGTGTGAGCACAGCACATGTGTATAGCTGGGTGTGTGCACAGCACATGTGTATAGCTGGGTGTGTGTGTGCACGTGTGTAAATGCTGCGTGTCTGTGTGCTCACACGGGCGTGATGTCCCCCAGCCAGCTCTCCCCGTTCAATGCCCTGTTTGCCCCCACAGAGGTGCAAATACGACACATGCAACTGCCAGAGCACGGAGGACTGCATGTGCGCGGCCCTGTCCTCCTACGCCCGCGCCTGCGCCATCAAGGGCGTCATGCTGTGGGGCTGGCGGGAGCGCGTCTGCAGTGAGTGCCAGGTGTCCTGGGCCTAGGCCGGCCTTCAGGTCGCTGCTGTCCCAGGTGGCAGCTCGCCCTGGCCGTCGAGGGTCGAGGGTGCAGGGGGGCGACATCACTCCCAGCTTCCTCGGCCAGGAAGCAGCAGGAAACCAGCCCTGAGCCACTCCGCTTGCAGGGAGGGGCCTGGAACTGTGGCCACGATGCCTTAGCTCAGAAGGGGAGGTGCGTGGGGCTGGGGCACCTGTGTGGCCAGGGGCGTCCCGGGGTGACTGCTCTCGTTGGCCCCCTGGCTTGGTGGGTGTCCTGGTCAGACGTGGGGCTCGGGGCTGGCTTTTGGGGAAGGGAGCTGGGGGCCGTTCTCCCGCCCCTCAGGCCGGCCCCTCCCCTCTGCAGACAAGGACGTGGGCTCCTGCCCCAGGTCGCAGGTCTTCCTGTACAACCTGACCACCTGCCAGCCGACCTGCCGCTCGCTGTCTGAACCTGACACCCACTGTGTCAAGGGCTTCGCGCCCGTGGATGGCTGTGGCTGCCCCGACCACACCTTTCTGGATGAGAAGGGCCGCTGCGTGGCCCTGGCCAAGTGTTCCTGCTACCACCGTGGCCTCTACCTGGAGGCGGGGGAGGCCATCCTGAAGCAGGAGGAGAGATGGTGTGTGGCCTGGGGCCGGGGAGGGAGGGCTGGCTCTGCTGGGGGCGTCCACACCCCCGCCCAGTCCCACAGAGCCACTGGGCCCGCCCCTGAAGGGCCCCATTCACCCCCCACCTGTCCCTCACAGCGTTTGCCGGAACGGGAGGCTGCACTGTCTGCAGGTCAAGCTGCTCGGCCAGCGTAAGTGGCTGCTGCCCTATGCATGGCCTGCCGCCCCACAAGCTGCTCCCCCTCCACTGCCTGCGCGAGCCCCCCACCCAACTTCACCTGAGCTGAGGTGGCCCCTTCCGTCCCGCAGGCTGTATGGCCCCGAAGATCCACGTCGACTGCAACAACATGACGGCGCTGACCACCCGGAACCCCAGGCGCGTCAGCTGCCAGACGCTGGCTGCCGGCTACGTGCGTGCTGGGTGGGGGCGCTGTGGACGGGGGTGCAGGCAGGCTCCCGTACGGTCGGTCCTGCGGCTCTGGGCCCTAGGTCCTCTGGACATACGTGCTTTGCCGGCCCTCCCTGTTCCTCGGGGGAGGTGGCCGCCTGTGGGTCCCCACCCAGCCTGCTGAGGGCACAGGGACCAGTGTAGGGGCCCCTGGCAGGCTGCTCTCCCCTGTCTCCCAGTTCAGTGGGGACAGGGCTCTGGAGGCTGGACCAGGGAGAGACGTCAAGCGTCAGAGGGTGGGGGCACGGGGCATGAGGGGTGTCTGCAGCAACAGAAGAGGGGCCAGCCATCCTGGGCCCGGCACCTGATCCCCAAATCCCGCTCTCCAACCGCCCGCCAGTACCAGACGGAGTGCATCAGTGGCTGCGTGTGCCCCGAGGGGCTGATTGACGATGGCCGGGGTGGCTGCGTGGTGGAGGAGGCGTGCCCGTGTGTGCACAACAAGGACCTGTACTACCCCGGGGACAAGATCAGGGTGGACTGCAACACCTGGTAAGCAACCTGGCCCCCGACCCCCAAGCGCTCCGTGGCGAGCCGGCCCTGGACCACAGGCCTCCTCCGTGGGGCCGGCCAGGGTCTGCAGGGCCCTGTGGCCTCCCACCTGGCTGGCAGGGCCCTGGCCTGGGTGGGCGCTGGGATAGGAGGGTCTGGAGGTGTTTTCTGTGAGCTGCTGGGGGGCTTTCTGCACAGCGCCAGGGTACACACTGAGCAGGGGTGGGGGACCTGGGCCCCTGCAGCCCCTCCAGGCCCCCCATCTCGCTCTCCTCAGCACCTGCCAGAAAGGGCGCTGGGCATGTACCCAGTCCATGTGCCACGGCACCTGTGCCATCTATGGGAACAGCCACTACATCACCTTCGATGGAAAGTACTATGACTTTGATGGACACTGCTCCTACGTGGCTGTTCAGGTGAGGCCGAGGGCACGACTAGAGCCTGCCTCTGCTTCGTGGCCCCTGCATTGCTGGCCCTGGGCTGCTCCCAGACCAGTGAGGAGGCTCCGAGTGGAGGGGGTCTGGGGCGGGACGGGAGCCCTTCCTTGGCCCTCCCATTCCACGACCCTCCCGTGGGTTTCGGGGGTGTGGCGTGCACAGGGGCGTGTGTGTTTGGGGGGTTAAGGCCCCTCTCAACAGATGAGGGGCTGAGGCTCGACCAGGCCCAGCTTGGGGGGGGATACCCAGGACCCTCATGGCTGGGCCGGCCTGGCTCATGTGCCCGTGGGCCCCCAGGACTACTGTGGCCAGAACTCATCACTGGGCTCCTTCAGCGTCATCACTGAGAAGGTCCCCTGTGGCACCACGGGCGTCACCTGCTCCAAGGCCATCAAGATCTTCCTGGGGGTGAGTGCTGCGTGCCCCTGGGCATGCATGGTCCCTTGGGGACCCTCAGACCCGGTCCGTGACGGGGCCTCTCCCCTGGGCACAGAGGACAGAGCTAAAGCTGGAGGACAAACACCGCATGGTGATACAGCGTGACGTGGGCCACCATGTGGCCTACACCACGCGGGAAGTGGGCCAGTACCTGGTGGTGGAGGCCAGCGTCGGCATCGTCGTCATCTGGGACAAGAGGACCACCGTCTTCATCAAGCTCGCCCCCTCCTACAAGGTGCGCAGCGGCCTGCCCGTCAGCCAGTCCGTGCCTGTGCTTGCCCCGGGCCTCCCGGGCTCGTGAGCAGCCAGCCCCTCCCGCCTGCGAGCCCCCTGGCAAAGCCCCTGGCCGGCTTGTCTCTGCAGGGCACTGTGTGTGGCCTGTGTGGGAACTTTGACCAGCGATCCAGCAATGACTTCACCACGCGGGACCACATGGTTGTGGAGAGTGAGTTGGACTTCGGGAACAGCTGGAAGGAGGCCCCCACCTGTCCGGACGTGAGCGCCAACCCCGAGCCGTGCGCCCTGAGGCCACACCGCCGCTCCTGGGCCGAGAAACAGTGCAGCGTCATCAAGGGCCCGGCCTTCGGGGTCTGCCACAGCAAGGTGGGCGGGGAGTGGGCACGGGCAGCGGCCAGGGCGAGGCAGTCTCCCGGCTGCATCAGCTTGTGCCATCTGTTCTCCAGCTTCAGCTCCATCTTCTGTGTCCTTTGGACCCCTGGCCTCTGGACCTTCCAGGGAGGGAGAAAGGACACAACCCCCTTAGGCCCAGATGACCCTTAGCTCCCGGCAGTGGCGGTGGTGGGGTGGGCCGGGTTGGGCAACCGTAGCTGGACCTCCCCTGCCAGCCCCACTGGAGCCCTGGGGGGCTAGGGCTGGGTGACCATACCCTGTCCCGGGCGCAGAGTCGGCCTCGGGGTCCCGAGCTTCCTGGGCCACAGGGGAAGGCCTGTCCTCATGAGGGCGGTGTAGACACCGGGCACATGGAGGCTTCTCCCCTAGGTGGACCCCAAGCCCTTCTATGAGGCCTGCGTCCACGACTCGTGCTCCTGTGACACAGGCGGGGACTGTGAGTGTTTCTGCTCTGCTGTGGCCGCCTACGCCCAGGAGTGCACCAAGGAGGGGGCCTGCGTGTTCTGGAGGACGCCCGAGCTGTGCCGTGAGTGCCCACCTGTCCTGGACCTGGGGTGCCAGTGTGGCGGGCTGGAGGCTGCTGCACCGGGGGATGGGGTGCTTGTGGCCCCCTCCCTGCCTCCCCCGCCCGGCCTCGGCCCTCCCCGAGCCTGACACCCCTCCCCCCACCCCCAGCCATATTCTGTGACTACTACAACCCCCCGAACGAGTGTCAGTGGCACTACGAACCCTGCGGGAACCGCAGCTTCGAGACGTGCAGGACGATCAGTGGTGTTCACTCCAACATCTCCTTGTCCCACCTGGAGGGTGAGGCGCCCTGTGGGGCCCGGGACCCTGCGTTCCAGGGTGGGCCAGGCTCACCGCGCTGACAATGGGCTGGGAGCCTGAGTCGAGACCCCGCCCTAGAGTAGAGACACAGAAAAGGGGCAGCTTAACACGGTGTCAGTGGACTACGAACCCTGCGGGAACCGCAGCTTCGAGACGTGCAGGACGATCAGTGGTGTTCACTCCAACATCTCCTTGTCCCACCTGGAGGGTGAGGCGCCCTGTGGGGCCCGGGACCCTGCGTTCCAGGGTGGGCCAGGCTCACCGCGCTGACAATGGGCTGGGAGCCTGAGTCGAGACCCCGCCCTAGAGTAGAGACACAGAAAAGGGGCAGCTTAACACGCCACGTGAGGTCAGGAGACCACGTGAGGTCGGGAGCGAAGCTTCTGTGGCGGAAGAGCAGAAGAGGGCGAGGCGGGGGCTCGGGAGCCCTCTGCAGCGTCTGCGAGCCGAGAACACGGAGGTCTGGGGAGGCAGCAGTGGGCGTGCCCCCGGCAGGCTGGGCGGGACCTGGCTGTCCCTCTGGCCACAGGGCCCCAGGAAGCGGGGGTGTCTGGACATCGGGAAAAGAGGACCTGCCAGGGTGGGGAAGATGGGGGTCTGGTGGATGTGGGGCCCTCTGTGCCGGTCCAAGCCCAGTGCCCTGTGCCCACCAGGCTGCTACCCCCGGTGCCCTAAGGAAAGTCCCATCTACGACGAGGACCTGAAGGAGTGTGTCGCGCGGGACAAATGTGGTTGCTACAGCAACGACACCCACTACTCACCTGGAGAGGCTGTGCCCACAGAGAAGATCTGCCACTCTTGGTATCTAAGCTCACGTCGCAGGGGCCCCGGGGGAGCGCAGGGCACACGCACACATGCACCCACATCCACGCACACACACTGGCACACAGTGTTCATGTACACACATGTGGACACATGGCCGCACGCACACAGGAGCCGGGGGAGGGGAGAAGTGGGCCCTCCTTCCTTCTGCTCCCCTTGCCTCGTCCCCTCTCTGCCCACAGTGGGAACCCAGTGGGGGGCTCCCGGCCCCGGCCTTTGGGGTAGCGCCCTGGGGCTTTGGGCCGGTGGCAGAGGCCGGCTGGGAGAGGCCAGTGTCTCCTCGGGCTGCAGCCTCGCTCTTGCTTTTCAGTGTGTGTAACAACTCCTCGCAAGTTGTCTGCCAGCCAGAAAAAGGTAAGCTGCTCGCCCCTGGACTGTCCTCCTGGGCTGTGCTGGGGTCATTCTCCCCCTCCCCCCCTCCCCCTTTTCTTCCGTGGGGCTTCCCTGGGGCCCTCCCAGCTCAGATGTGCCCCTGATTTGCAGCAGCCCCTCGGGCTTACCTGAAATGTTTGTATTTCTCCTGATGGGGAGCAGATGCCCCGTCTGTGGTGTAGCTTCTGTGTCCTGATGGGCACCGCTTAGGATTCTGGGAATGGGGTCCTGACAGGCGCTGGTTTGCCAGTGGTTGGAGGTGGGGGAAACCAGTCTTCCCCTTATTGGGACAGGCTGAGGAGGGCCTTGTGAGACTCTGTCTTGTTCCTGACGTGTTGACGTCGGCCTCCCCCCAGGGAAGATTCTCACCACTAAGCAGGACGGCCCCTTCTGCTACTGGGAGATCTGTGGCCCCGACGGGACGGTGGAGAAACACTTCGGCATGTGTGAGGACACCTCACCAACCTCGTCCCCCTCAACACCCGCCACCACCACCTCTGTCTCCCCCATCACCCCCTCCACCACCACGAGCACCACTCTGACTGCCAGTACAGGTAAGGTCTTCCCCTGATCCCAGCAGGGCGGCCTTTCTAGGTAGATGGGGGTGATGCCGACCTGCCTCTCAACTCAGGGAGTGTCCCCTGCCTCCCAGCATCTTGACCACACCCCTGATCCCAGATTGCCGTGATGGCGACTCGGGGCCGTCTCCCCAGACCCGCAGGAAACTACCCCTAAGGGTTAGAGGAGGCAGAGAGACACCCTCTAGTCCCTGTGCATTTGCTCGGGCTAAAGTTGCAGCTACTGCTGAACGAGCCGCCAGACGTATGACAGCCACCGGGAAAAGCAACTGGTAAAATTTAAAGGTTTGAAAAACCTCAAAGCTATAGAATGACATTCTCTTTTCCCCCCATTTTACTGCAGTGTCATCTCCCCCTTCAACAACTCAGAGTAAGTCACGTTGACGGCACTCCCAGTGATACAGGGCGAGGACCTGCAGAAAGCTGCTGGGCGCCTCCCTCGAAACCCAGACACGGGGCTGGGCTGGGTGGGCTGGACCAGCGGCTCGCGGACCGAAGATGCTGTATTTTGGTGACTTGATTCCCGATTTGCTGAGCCCAGGGACACGTGCAGGGGACCTGACCAGCTCAGGGTGAAAATATTAGTCAGGAGTCCAGACCAAGTCCCTGCCGGCATGCTTCTTTGCTGGACTAGGTGGCCCCCTCCTTATTTATTTGTTTGGCATAAGGATTTGAAAGTAGCTGAGGAAGGGGTGCTAGGCTGGCGCTCTGAGGCCTGGGTCTGTCACTGGCATGGCATTGGGGTCCTGGGCTTTTAGCTGCAGAAGGAGGGGAGAAGTGGAGGGTGGAAGTTAGGGCTCAGCTTAGAGCCTCAGAGCCAACATTGCGCCCTTTGGTGGTGATGGGGACAGCTGGTCCTGGGGGTCTCGGTTCTCCGAGTCCCACAGATCTCCCGAAAGGCGCGCCCCAGCCTGGCTGACCAGCACTGCGTCTTGCTCGCCTAGGGCTATGCTGCTTCTGGTCCGACTGGATCAACGATGACCATCCCGGAATCGGCAGTGATGGTGGAGACCAAGAGACATTCAACCGTGTCTGCAGGGCCCCCAGGGATATCGAGTGCAGGGTGGCCATAGAGCCGTACCTCAGCTGGGAGGAGCTGGGCCAGGAGGCTCAGTGCAATGTCTCCTACGGGTTCATCTGCAAGAACGAAGACCAGTTTGGAAAAGGACCTTTTGAAGTCTGCTATGACTACGAGATACGAGTCTATTGCTGCCTGCTGACGGATGAGTGTCCCACGTCCCCGACCACGACGCCCAGCACCACCTTAACAGAGACTCCAACTCCGACCACTACAGAGACCCCAACCACAGCACCCACCACCACCTCAACTGGGACTCCAACTCCGACCGCCAGCACAACCACAACAGAGACTACAACCACTACAGTGACCCCAAGCACAACACCCACCACCACCTCAACTGGGACTCCAACTCCAGCCCCAACCACAACCACAACAGAGATTTCAACTTCAACCATGGCAGAGACCACAATCACAACACCCACCACCACCTCAACTGGGACTCCAACTCCGACCGCCAGCACAACCACAACAGAGACTACAACCACTACAGTGACCCCAAGCACAACACCCACCACCACCTCAACTGGGACTCCAACTCCAGCCCCAACCACAACCACAACAGAGATTTCAACTTCAACCATGGCAGAGACCACAATCACAACACCCACCACCACGTCAACTGGGACTCCAACTGCGACACACAGCACAACCACAACAGAGATTTCAACTTCAACCATGGCAGAGACCACAATCACAACACCCACCACCACGTCAACTGGGACTCCAACTGCGACACACAGCACAACCACAACAGAGACTCCAACTCCGACCACAGCAGAGACCACAATCACAACACCCACCAGCACTTCCACTGGGACTCCAACTCCGACCGCCAGCACAACCACAACAGAGACTACAACCACTACAGAGACCCCAACCACTACAGAGACCCCAAGCACAACACCCAGCACCACTTCAGCTGGGACTCCAACTCCGGCCCCAACCACAACCACAACAGAGATTCCAACTTCGACCACGGCAGAGACCCCAACCACAACACCCACCACCACGTCAACTGGGACTCCAACTGCGACACACAGCACAACCACAACAGAGACTCCAACTCCGACCACAGCAGAGACCCCAATCACAACACCCACCAGCACGTCAACTGGGACTCCAACTGTGACCGCCAGCACAACCACAACAGAGATTCCAACTCCGACCACGGCAGAGACCACAATCACAACACCCACCACCACTTCCACTGGGACTCCAACTGCGACCCCCACCACAACCACAATAGGGACTCCAACGCCAACCACTACAGAGACCCCAACCACAACACGCACCACCACGTCAACTGGGACTCCAACTGCGACCGCCAGCACAACCACAACAGAGACTCCAACTCCGACCACGGCAGAGACCACAATCTCAACACCCACCAGCACTTCCACTGGGACTCCAACTCCGACACACAGCACAACCACAATAGAGACTACAACCACTACAGAGACCCCAAGCACAACACCCAGCACCACTTCAGCTGGGACTCCAACTCTCACACACAGCACAACCACAACAGAGATTCCAACTCCGACCATGGCAGAGACCACAATCTCAACACCCACCAGCACTTCCACTGGGACTCCAACTCCGACCCCCACCACAACCACAATAGGGACTTCAACCCCAACCACTACAGAGCCCCCCATCACAACCCCCACCAGCACTTCCACTGGGACTCCAACTGCGACCGCCAGCACAACCACAACAGAGATTCCAACTCCGACCATGGCAGAGACCCCAATCTCAACACCCACCAGCACTTCCACTGGGACTCCAACTGCGACCGCCAGCACAACCACAACAGAGACTCCACCTCCGACCACTACAGAGACCCCCATCACAACACCCACCACCACGTCAACTGGGACTCCAACTGCGACCGCCAGCACAACCACAACAGAGATTCCAACTCCAACCACTACAGAGACCCCCATCACAACACCCACCACCACGTCAACTGGGACTCCAATTACGACCCCCACCACAACCACAATAGGGACTTCAACACCAACCACTACAGAGACCCCAACCACAACACCCACCACCACGTCAACTGGGACTCCAACTGAGACCGCCAGCACAACCACAACAGAGACTCCAACTCCGACAACAGCAGAGATCACAATCTCAACACCCACCAGCACTTCCACTGGGACTCCAACTCCGACCCCCACCACAACCACAACAGAGACTCCAACACCGACCACTACAGAGACCCCAATCACAACACCCACCACCACGTCAACTGGGACTCCAACTGCGACCGCCAGCACAACCACAACAGAGATTCCAACTCCAACCACTACAGAGACCCCCATCACAACACCCACCACCACGTCAACTGGGACTCCAATTACGACCCCCACCACAACCACAATAGGGACTTCAACACCAACCACTACAGAGACCCCAACCACAACACCCACCACCACGTCAACTGGGACTCCAACTGAGACCGCCAGCACAACCACAACAGAGACTCCAACTCCGACAACAGCAGAGATCACAATCTCAACACCCACCACCACTTCCACTGGGACTCCAACTCCGACCCCCACCACAACCACAACAGAGATTCCAACGCCGACCATGGCGGAGACCACAATCACAACACCCACCAGCACTTCCACTGGGACTCCAACTCTGACCGCCAGCACAACCACAATAGAGACTACAACCACTACAGAGACCCCAAGCACAACACCCAGCACCACTTCAGCTGGGACTCCAACTCTGACACACAGCACAACCACAACAGAGACTCCAACTCCGACCACGGCAGAGACCACAGTCACAACACCCACCAGCACTTCCACTGGGACTCCAACTCTGACCGCCAGCACAACCACAACAGAGACTACAACCACTACAGAGACCCCAAGCACAACAGCCAGCACCACTTCAGCTGGGACTCCAACTCTGACACACAGCACAACCACAACAGAGACTCCAATTCCGACCACGGCAGAGACCCCAATCACAACACCCACCACCACTTCCACTGGGACACCAGCTCCGGCCCCCACCACAACCACAATAGTGACTCCAACGCCAACCACTACAGAGACCCCAATCACAACACCCACCACCACGTCAACTGGGACTCCAACTGCGTCCGCCAGCACAACCACAACAGAGACTACAACCACTACAGAGACCCCAAGCACAACAGCCAGCACCACTTCAGCTGGGACTCCAACTCTGACACACAGCACAACAACAACAGAGACTCCAACTCCGACCACAGCAGAGACCACAATCACAACACCCACCACCACGTCAACTGGGACTCCAACTCCGACCCCCACCACAACCACAACAGAGATTGCAACTCCGACCACGGCAGAGACCACAATCACAACACCCACCAGCACTTCCACTGGGACTTCAACTCCGACCGCCAGCACAACCACAATAGAGACTACAACCACTACAGAGACCCGAAGCACAACAGCCAGCACCACTTCAGCTGGGACTCCAACTCTGACACACAGCACAACCACAACAGAGATTCCAACTCCGACCACGGCAGAGACCACAATCACAACACCCACCACCACTCCCACTGGGACTCCAACTGCGACCCCCACCACAACCACAATAGAGACTCCAACGCCAACCACTACAGAGACCCCAACCACAACACCCACCACCACGTCAACTGGGACTCCAACTGCGACCGCCAGCACAACCACAACAGAGACTCCAACTCCAACCACTACAGAGACCCCCATCACAACACCCACCACCACCTCAACTGGGACTCCAACTACGACCCCCACCACAACCACAATAGGGACTCCAACACCAACCACTACAGAGACCCCAACCACAACACCCACCACCACGTCAACTGGGACTCCAACTGAGACCGCCAGCACAACCACAACAGAGACTCCAACTCCGACCATGGCAGAGACCACAATCACAACACCCACCACCACTTCCACTGGGACTCCAACTCCGGCCCCCACCACAGCCACAATAGGGACTGCAACGCCAACCACTACAGAGACCCCAACCACGACCCCCACCACCACGTCAACTGGGACTCCAACTGAGACTGCCAGCACAACCACAACAGAGACTCCAACTCCGACAACAGCAGAGATCACAATCTCAACACCCACCACCACTTCCACTGGGACTCCAACTCCGACCCCCACCACAACCACAACAGAGATTCCAACTCCGACCACGGCGGAGACCACAATCACAACACCCACCAGCACTTCCACTGGGACTCCAACTCCGACCGCCAGCACAACCACAAGAGAGACTACAACCACTACAGAGACCCCAAGCACAACACCCAGCACCACTTCAGCTGGGACTCCGCACAACATCCAGCACCACTTCAGCTGGGACTCCAACTCTGACACACAGCACAACCACAACAGAGACTCCAACTCCAACCACGGCAGAGACCACAATCACAACACCCACCACCACTTCCCCTGGGACACCAACTGCGACACACAGCACACCCACAACAGAGATTCCAACTCCGACCACGGCAGAGACCACAATTACAACACCCACAACCACTTCCACTGGGACTCCAACTCCGACACACAGCACACCCACAACAGAGATTCCAACTCCGACCACGGCAGAGACCACAATCACAACACCCACCACCACTTCCCCTGGGACACCAACTCCGGCCCCCACCACAACCACAATAGTGACTCCAACGCCAACCACTACAGAGACCCCAACCACAACACCCACCACCACGTCAACTGGGACTCCAACTGCGGCCGCCAACACACCCACAACAGAGACTCCAACTTCAACCACGGCAGAGACCAAAATCACAACACCCACCACCACTTCCACTGGGACTCCAACTCCGACCGCCAGCACAACCACAACAGAGACTCCAACTCCAACCACGGCAGAGACCACAATCACAACACCCACCAGCACTTCCACTGGGACTCCAACTCCGACTGCCAGCACAACCACAACAGAGACTACAACCACTACGGAGACCCCAAGCACAACACCCAGCACAACTTCAGCTGGTACTCCAACTCCGACACACAGCACAACCACAACAGAGATTCCAACTCTGACCACGGCAGAGACCAAAATTACAACACCCACAACCACTTCCACTGGGACTCCAACTCTGGCACACGGCACAACCACAACAGAGATTCCAACTCCGACCACGGCAGAGACCACAATCACAACACCCACCACCACTTCCACTGGGACTCCAACTGCGACACACAGCATACCCACAACAGAGATTCCAACTCCGACCACGGCAGAGACCACAATCACAACACCCACCAGCACTTCCACTGGGACTCCAACTCCGACCGCCACCACCACAGAGACATTCCCCACCACTATCACAACCACAGAGACCCCAACACCAATAACCACCACCACAGTGACCTCAGCACCACCACTGACCACCACCTCCACAGTGACTCCTACTCCGACCCTCACCATTAGCACCACCTCCACTGAAACTCCAACACCTACACCCACCATAACAGAGACCCCAACTCCAGCATCCACCACCACAGAAATCCCCACCCCGATCACTGCCACATCCACAGGGACTCCAACCCCACCTCCCAACATTAGCACTACGAGCAGCACATCAAAATTTCCTCCTACATCCTCCCCTCCAACCTCCCAGTCCACCTATCCCTCCTCCACGGAATCTACCACGCTTGTGATCACCATCCCAACAATTGTGGAGACATACAGCACACCACAGACCCCAGCGTCGACAGAATCAGCCATCACTACAACAGGAGGAACCACGCCCTCTCCACCTACACCTGGCACCACCCCTCCAGGTACACAGAGACCATGGAACTTGTGTGGCTTTGGTGATGCACTTACGGTTCCTTCTCACACCAGGGGAGCTTTACAGCTCTTGGGACTTGAGACAGGGGCCCCCCGCCCTACCCAGTGAGAGCGGTCCCCAAGAAGGCTCCAGGAGGGCTCGCCTGCCTCTCCTGCCCCCCAAGTCCCGCTGCTGAGTGTTCAGGGAGCTGCTGACCGCACAGTACGTCTCTCCTTGGGCATGGCTGCCTGTGGCCCACATCCCTCAGCCCATGGCTGTAAGATAGGCTACGTGGGCAAAGCCATCCTGAGGGGAGACCACCGAGGCATGTGTGGCCTCATGGGGAGTAGAGGCTGCCAGTCAGGTGCCTTGGGAGACCCTCCCGCTGTCCCCCCTCTTCCAGCTGCACTTCCCCCCTGGGGCTTCAGAGGGCAGCTGGTCAGCCTCTCTTGATGGACCAGTGTCCTGTGGCTCTGGTGCTGCCTGGAGCTGGTGCCTCACCCCCGTGGCCTCCCTGTTACAAACACCATAGACTGTGGGCACTGACACTCTGCTCAACCCTGAGACTGAGGGCTGGGGAAATGGATGTGAGGCCTCCCATGCCAGGTACCATGTCCTTCGAGTGAGCTGCCCACACGCACTTGCCGCCAGGCTGCCTGTGCATCTACGATGGGTGGACGCCCTCAGCCCTCACTGCACCCTCCATTCTTACAGGCTCGCCAACCTCGGGTCCCACCTCCTCGAAGACCGCTCCCACCCATGGAACCACGACTGGGCCCCCTTCATCCACCACAGGCCCCCCTTCCACGCCCACACCCACTCCTGCGACTGTGTCAACGACTTCCACGGGAACTTCCACACCAATAGGACACTCATCGACTATGCCACCCATGCCACAGACCACCAGCACCTTGACCTCCAGTGTGACTACCCCCACGGTGATCCCATTAACCTCACCCAACATCACCACGAGCACCGTCTCAGTCACCACCGTCCACGAGAAGATATGCTGCTATTTCAATGACACATACTATGCCCCAGGTACCCAAGCTTTTCATTCTGACTCAGGCAATGCAGGCTGGCGGGACTTTGCTTTCCCAGTGTCTAGGGGTCAGTTGAAGGTCTAAACTGGGGGCTTGCTTGGGAAGCTGGATGCCAGCACGGGTGGATGTCTCCATGGCCAGCCCCATGTGCTGCCACCACAAATCAGGGGTAAGTGAGGGTGGTGTGGACTTCTCTCTCATGGCCTCTGTGGGGACCCGCCTGGGTACTCTGGTGGCCAGCCCTGTGTGGATGGGGTAAGGACTGGGTCTTTCCCCTTGCAGGTGAGCTGGTGTACAACAGCACACATGGGGACACCTGCTATTACGTGAATTGCTCGCTGACCTGCACCCTCGAGATCTTCAACTGGTCCTGCCCATCCACACCCACCACCCAGCCATCCATGACATCCAGTGTGCTGCCCACCACCAAGCCCCCTGCGTGCCTGGACTTCGATCCTCCCAGACAGGTCTGTGTCTGTGGGTGGCTTTTGTCCCCTCGGGCACACACACCCACTATCTGGGCATCCAAAACCCCAGGCACTACCTTTCTGCTGGTCATGCCCCTGCCCCTATGCCCCACATCCCCAGTCGGACGAAGGCTTTAGGCAGCTCGCTGGGCTCAGGGTCTGCTGTGGCCCTCCTACCTTCTCTCCCACGCGCCCCTTGCTGTAGTGAGGTGGCTGGCTGCCCTCCTGGATGGGGTTGCCCTTCGCCTTCAGCCTCCTGGGCAGGGCTCTTAGGTGCTCACCTGGGGCCTCGCCTGCACAGCCCACCCCTCCTGTGTGAACCTGGGTGCCAGGCTGGTGCCGCTGACCCTGTGCCCTCCCCACCTGCAGGAGAACGAGACCTGGTGGCTGTGTAACTGCACCATGGCCATCTGCAAGTACAACAACACCGTGGAGCTTGTGGAGGTGAAGTGCGACCCCCCACCCATGCCCACCTGCTCCAACGGCCTCATGCCTGTGCGCGTCGAGGACCCCGACAAGTGCTGCTGGCACTGGGAGTGTGACTGTAAGCCCGATGCCGCAGAAACCCACCCCACCTGCTCCCCACTGTGTGTGTGGGGGCTGCAGACCCCAGGCCGTCGTGATGGCTTTGATGGCTGCGCACCCGCGGAGAGTCAGGCCCACGTTTGGAGCAATTTCTCACACCTCCTGCTTATTCCCCATCTCAGGCCAGGGGTCCGGGGGGAGGGAGGGGCTTGCCTGGTGGAGCATGGCCACCGCCGAGGGGCCTGGGGTGGGGGTGGGGCAGAGCTGGAGTTGAAACCGAGGCCTGGCCACTGCGGGCTGAGTGTGGAAGGCACTCTTGGGGCCCAGATGTCCCACGTGCCCCAGGGACCAGACTTCGGGGCTTCCCTCAGTTTCTGCTTGCCCTTCCCACCTGACCCTTGATCCTTGGTCCCTGTCCTTGAGCCTGTCCCTGTCCCAGCCCCCAGTCCCTGGCTCGGCACTGGCTCACCCCAGCTCCCCCTGCAGGCTACTGCACGGGCTGGGGGGACCAGCACTACGTCACCTTCGATGGGCTCTACTACAGCTACAAGGGCAACTGCACGTACGTGCTGGTGGAGGAGGTCACCCCCACCGTGGACAACTTCGGGGTCTACATCGAGAGCCAGCACTGTGACATCAACAGCCAAGTGTCCTGCCCCCGCACGCTCATCGTGCGCCATGAGACCCAGGAGGTGCTGATCAAGACCGTGCACACGATGCCCATGAGGGTGCAGGTACATTGGCTGGGGAAGGGTGTCCACGGTGGGGCGCACCGATGAGGGTTCCCTTAGCCGGTGGGAGGCTGGGCTTCCTCCCCCAGAGCCAGGCTTGGAGAGGGCAGGGCGGCGCTCAGTGGACACATTTCTGTGTCTGGCCCTCCGGAGGCATTCAGGGACCTCTTGACCTCCCCCTCTCATGCCCCCGCCACCCACCCTGGGCAGAGGTCTCTGTGGCAGAAGCCCCCTCCCTGAGGACAGGGGTGAGTGGGGAGGGGCCCTGAACACACTGCATGGAGTTGTTGGTTCCCATGGCCTGGGGAGTCCTACCCACTGCACGGGGGCCCCCAGGTCTCCGGGGGACTCTGAGGACAGCGGCCCTGCCACCTTGCCCCTGAGACAAGTCAGGACAAGGATCTGGCCCAGCCCGATAGAAAGAAGAGGGAAGGGGGAGAGGCACGGGCAGAGGTCCCCGCACTGGGCGCTCAGCCTGAGGACAGGCGGGGGTGGGGTGACCCCAGGTGCATCCGGAGGCACAGCTCGTCCCGCCCTGCTGGCCTTCCCTGACCCCGGATATCTCGGCCACAGGTGCAGGTCAACGGGCAGACCGTGGCGCTGCCCTATAAGAAGTATGGGCTGCAGGTGTACCAGTCAGGCATCCGCTGCATGGTGGACATCCCTGAGCTGGGTGCCCTCATCTCCTACAACAGTCTTTCTTTCTCCATCCGGCTGCCCTACCACCGGTTCGGCAACAACACGAAGGGCCAGTGTGGTGAGCCTCTCGGCCCCTGTGCGCTGCCCCAGGGAGGGTGTCCGGGCTGCGGCTGGCTGTGGGCGCCTGCCCCCGCGGCTGTGGTTCTCAACACCACGCAGGCCCCCACCGCCTTATCTGGGTTTGGCTCCTGTGGGAAGCCAATAGGAGCCTAATCTAGTCTGTGCCCTTGGCCCCGGCCAGCCGGCCACGAGGGACCTGGGCTGGGAGGGGCTGGGTCCTGGGGGGCTTTGCCCAGCCTGCTGGACGGCTGGGCTTGGCTCAGGGACACGTGGCCTTCCTGCCGACACAGGCACGTGCACCAACAACACCTCGGATGACTGCACGCTGCCCGGCGGGGAGGTCGTCGCCAACTGCAAGGTCGCGGCTGGCCACTGGGTGGTGAATGACCCCTCGGAGCCGCAGTGTCCCCACAGGGGCTTCACCACCGAGCGCCCGGCCGCCTGGCCGTCGGTGGGCAGCAGCACAACCACCGGGACGGGCTCTCCGTCTCCGCTCTGTGAGCTCATCAAGGACAGGTGATCCCGGCCTGGGCCCGGCTGCACCCCTGCTGGTCTGCGGAGAAGAGGCCACAGGGCCTGAGCCTGGGGCTGGGGAGGCAGAAGGAGGTCACAGTGGGGCCCAGGACTCGGGATCCTGATTTCCATGGGGCTGAGTGGCCCGTAAGGTGTCCTTGTGCCCTTTGTGACCCCCCCCCCCCCTC